GACCCCCCTCCCCCCTGCCCCCAAAGCTCTGGTAGTGGAAATATCAACCAACATAGTTGGTGGGGGGGGGGGGCGCCTACTACTACTACTACTACTACCACCACCACTACTAATACTACTACTAATCATAATAGTACTAGTGATGTCAATGACACTGAGTGATAATACTACAAAAAGACGACGACTACTACATCGATTACATCCTCAAATATCTCGTTCGTTGGCCGTTGCACCCGTCCGTGTTGAAGCGTTGGCATCCTCTGGAAACCTCTTAGAGTTTGGGGCTTTAGATGTAGGTTTCGGTGTCAGGGCTAAGGGGGTGGGGTGAAGACTTTAGGGTTTCGAGGTCAAGTCGTACGAGCCAACGTGTCTGATGGCATCTGTGTCAATTATTGCCTGATGGCATGTCGCAGGCCAAACGAGTATTATGGTGAGACATAGTATCCCCTCAATCTTTTGACGGGGTAGCTATGATTGCAAAAAAGGCAAAGAAAATCCATTGTCTCCCACTGGGGGTTGGGGGGCCTGTAACCTTCCTGGGCTTCTTAAAGCATCAGACAACCCACCTGAAGCGTGCAGCTGAGGTAGAATGGGGAAGGCAAAAGATGCAGGAGTGGTGGCTGCTCAGGGTGTAGGGTTTAGCGTTTAGAGGCTCAGGGCAGAAGGTTTCATGATGGGGTACCAAGAGCTCGGAGTTTGGAGGGTTTTTGGGTAGAAGATCTATGGTTCAGGCATTTGCTTCGCGTGGGGGTTCCTCATCTTTGTTTAGGCTACTCTGTATGTGGGGGTTGTTCTAAAGGTCCTTGCAAAGAAGGCACCATTGGGAATACAGCTCCTCAAAAAGGGATCACAACCTAACAGGGAACCTACGTTATGGCCATTTTGGGGACAGGTGTTTTGAACAGCTAGCATGTGATTTCAAGTTCGCTCGTTGATTCAAGGAGGCGCTGAGCTAATGGGGAGCCGCCCAATCAAGGTTGGATTTAAAATTCGACTGGGTGAGTGCAACTTAGCAGCTACCTGCCCTTGGGCTTTCCCAACACGGGTTCCATACCCGTAAGCTGTATGTCCAAAAATCCCCAAACCAGAGGCCCCTGGACCCTGAGCCCTATTATCTGATGAGCCTGAAGACTTCAATCCTAAAATGCTGAACCCCACACCCCAAACTCTAAAGTCTTGACATCTAGCTTTTAAAGCCTGAAGCTTTAAAACCCTACAATCCAAGGCCATTTTCTATTTAGATAGGCCCCTCAACTTCTGGGAGCTTCCATCAAGGAGAGGACCCCAAGA